TTGTCTACTGAGCCATGCAGCTTTATAATAATTTTGCTTTTATTATGGGAAGAACTTATAAGGGATCAACACAATTATCCCTCGATGGTCCTTTCAACTTTCTATCGTAGATTAGAAAATGCTACATGAGGAAAATGTATTTGGATAGGCAGCGCATAAAACAAGAAAAATATTTTGGATACTGTGTGTGATAAATTCTTGTTAATACATATAGAGGGCCTTGGATCACTGAAAGGAGTCAGGTAGTTTTGCTTTGACCCATGGAGTTATGAGGATCCAAGTTTTTAGGAGTAATTAACACTTTCTAGGGATTGTTTTAAACTCTGTCACTGAGTTGTACACCTGCTTCCTATTCTTTTTCTGCCTAAAAATAATTCCTATTAAGGAAGGTTACATTATTATAAAATGGGTAGAAAAACAGGGATGTTAAAAAGCCGCTGTAATAGTGTATCATTTGTAGTTGGGGGAAGGTCTTCCTTATTTTTGTGTTTTATGTAAAATTAATTTAAAAAATAATTTCAGGATCCTATTTCAATGTGATTGAAGAACATCTTTCATTACTTTTATGCACTTCATCTGATTTTGTTAAGTAAATAGAGCAGAGGTAACTTTTTATTTGCTTCAGAGAATTTAGGAGATTTGCCCTGAGTCACGGAGGATTTGAACTCAGGTATCTTTCCCCATCATCTATTCTTCCTCCCAGTGTGCAAGTTTTATTAGTTAATGAGGCTGCTTGAGTTTCAAGATCAATAACTGGTTCTTTCAATATCTGCAAAACATCACGACTTCAAATCTGCGTGGCCTCACCCTTACAGAGCCTATGCTTCAAATGGGAGAAAATTTCGATTCATGTCAGTTGTTTAAAATTAATGGTACACTCATATTTTATTTAATAAATATTAATGGTTGGATTTGGCAGTGGGCAGGGGGCTATTTTAGCCCTTTACTGTAAAGAAGATCATTATCACATCCCCAAATCTGATTTCTAGAGTGCATCTTTATCAATATTTATTAGACACTTGGGTTGGTTCTAATTATGTTTTCTGGCCCACACTGCAGAACGCCTTTCGGGCTGTGTCACGTTGGCTAAGTGTATTCCAGAGAGCACTTATTCTCAGTCTTGTCCTTCAGCAAGGGTTTGTTCCATATTTGAGACACGACTCCCTTGTTGTTGTTTTTCTATCAGCACATGATACAATAGAAATCCTAAATCAATACTACTTTTTATTCCTACACAACTGATGCATAACAGCCTTCTTCACATCAAGGTTTAATGTGTTGTAAATTAATTATCTGGAATGAATACAGAGTCAATGGACCTTGGCATGGCCAAGATGCGATGTTAAAATGTTCTATTTCCTCCTCCTCTTCTCAGCATTCTTACTCGGACTTTTGTGCAGGCCAGTTGTTCCCGCTTCTCCAGTGAACTCCCCTAGGAATTGTTAATGCCCTATTGAGATGGATCAATAGAAAAAATTTCCTTTCCCATAAATTTGTTAAAATATTTTCTGCCTTCTACACAAAAAGATGTTTTTGTTTTGATTACACCCAGTGACTTTTTTTTTCTTAAGAACATTTAATTGGAATTGGGTCTGCCAAAGTGAGTAACACATTTCCCTTTAATTCAGAGTATCTAAAAATCTTGTACAGATACACACAGGCTTATCTACTACTTCCTTTTCAAAATGAGAACAATTGTCTGTTTTCTAGAATTCAGTTCAAAAAAGAAAACTTTATCTGCCCCATAATCTAAATGTGGATTTGATGGCAATCTCATCTCAAATGGTATAACATCGGGTACGGCAAAGTGGATTTTCCATCAGAAGCAAAGCAATTAAAAAGCGGGAATTCACTAAGTTTTAAAGTACTCAATTTTCTATTTTCTTTAAAATAAGAATAGAAGAGGCAAACTCCATTATAGATTCGAGGGTAGCTCTGCTATTAGTAGCTATAGAAACAAGGAAACTGGGTAGAGAATAAGAGAGAAGGGAGGGCATGAGAGAAAAATAGAATTATGAGTAAAAGAAAGAAAACTATAAACCTAGCTATAACATTTAAGTGCTAATATTATGATTTTGAGGCCGGTGAATTGGAAAGTGAATTGTCCAACAGCTTTGCTAGTTACTTAGTACCATCTTAGCACTGTCACTCCTTTGTCAATGTCTGTTTTCATAGGGATTTAGGTATACAAAGGAGCGGCCAAACAAAATGAATATAACCATCTTCCAAGAGGAGGTAATGAAGAATAGGGATATAAATACATAAGCACCAACTTGCAGGAAGCATGCTAGGGTCAACTTCATAATTTTTTACAGAAGCCGGTGTGCTCTGTCAAGTTAAGGGATGGAGAGTGGAACCAAATCTACTTTACTTCCCTTGACGACGAGGTCAACACCACTTGTAAATCCGACCTCGTCCCACTGCAGCTGTGTCAAAGCCGGGAGCTTGGGGGACACTGAAATCGTACAAGACAGAGCACATTTTCCAAACTCCAACTTAGCACATGTCTGGTGGAAACGCCTCTGATCTTAGTTTAGGTTCCCCAGGAATATTTTCAGCCTAGACTTGATCCCCACATCTGTCCTGGATCATCAGAGTGCATTACACTGTTGCTTGAGTTTTAGAAACACACACCCTAACAACCAAGCTGGATGCTCTACATGGGGCAGATTTAGTGTGGGTTTTCTTGCCAGCCCAGAGCCTTAGAGTGCTGTGCAGGTGTAAAACACAGTCTCTGTGCTTCTGTTATGAGGGATAAATTATGAGATGTCCTAACAGACCTAGTTGCTAAAATCTAAATTTTCACGAAAGAAGTCACATGTTTTCAACATGGTTCTATTGACCTAGAGGAGTCTCATTCAATATGTGCCAAAATAGCAATGAATATACAGAAGCAACAAATGATTTTAGTTTTTCAGTATGAAATTTATGTATACAAAGAGGGAGTATGGTGTAATAATGATTAACATCCAGGTTGACACACTAGAGGCACGGCCAGGAAGCCACACACAAGTGTTTGTAAATAAAGTTTTATTGACGCATATTCACTCAGGTACTGTCTGCGTCTGCTTCTCCCACTGCAATGGCAGAATTGAATAGTTGTGACCATATGACTTGCCACGAGGCTTCCAAGAGGATACATTCCTTGCCAAATTGAAAATATTTATGGCTTAGACTCGATGATTCCTTTAAATGTGTGTGTTTTTCAGTCTCAGTGTCTGTATTTGAATTCTGACTTCAGCGTGTCTTGGTTGTGGTACCTGGATCAAATATTCATTCTGCCCCAGTGTCTTCATCTACGAAGCAGGCACACGAGTAGCAATGGTCAGTACGTTGCTATACCGTTTACGTGAGCTAATGTGTGTTATTTACGAGTCCACCTGACAAAGTCCTCAATCCTTTTTCTGCTGCTCCCATATTCTCAGGGAGTTTGTGGGTCTGAAGACTTGTAGTTCTCAAAAACATAGGTACCAGGAAAAAGGGAGCTGGACCTTTTGCAAAAGTGAAAAGGAACACGAGATGGAGAGAGGAGGAAGGGGAAGAAGGACAAGGGGTTGGAAGAGTGAATTAAGATGTGTTATGTACACGTACTGGCTCCCCACGAGGAGGGCCACCGGCACTTGCTGCAAACATGAACTAATGAAAACACTGAAATAAAATCCAAAACAAAACATAAACATGACCAGCCCACGCTCGTTGGGCAGAATAAGGCTATTAGAGCACCAGGCATCCTTGGAATTTCCTCATTATTTTAAATCTCTGGTGTGGTCTGAAGTTTGGCAGCAAACTTAGTTCACAAAAAAGCCTTACGAAGACTGGCAGAAGTAGCGCTCAATCGTCGCACCTGGCAGAGGTAGAAAAAAGAAATGCGGTCCGCAGACTGCTCACTGTGAGACAGCCAAGGCCACGTCTTCGAAACCCTTAACTTCTGTGTCCTTTCGAAGAGGAGAGGAGTCAGCAACCTCACACACCGGAGACCAGCGAGCCCCAGGGAGTGATGTTCCGTGGCCCCCAGCCAGCCGTACCAGACTGCGTTGCCAGTTTGATGAAGCACATCTCCCGGCTCTGACACCCGCTTCCTCTCCCAGACCCCTCTCCTGCTGCCCTTGGTGGCTCGCAGGCCCCCCAGTGCATCACATCCCTCAGGTCTGGCTGCCTTCAGTGTGACTCATGCGCTAGAAGATCCTTCCTCTGCTCACTTCATCAGCCCCTGAGCAAAACTCCTCTCCGTTTCAGACCCATCTATATCAAGCCAGAAATAGAGCTGACCAAGGAACTCCTTTTAGAGGAATATTTATATTTTAAAAGGAGGATGTGCAAGGTAAACGCAGTTCTCATTAGTACGTCATGCGTTCCCAAATTGAACTCCCTCTCTCCACGGATGCTGGTAGTCAGCGATTTTCTGTCCTTCTGGTCCATACTGCACTCGATCACACTGCACTATGCTATCTCATTTAGCTGTGCAGGTTGAGTATTCCTCATCCAAAATGCTTGTTTCAGAGCTTGGAGATTTTTAGATTTTGGTATATTTGCCTGCTCCTCATCTCCCTCAGCTCTGGACCAGTATCAGAAAAACCAGCTGCCATCTGGAAGTTCCTTTGTGCAGCAACCTGTAAAACAAGTCTAATAGCACCACTGTGAGAGAAAAATACACAAGCTCTACTTTATGATGCTCTTTGAAATTATGACTGGTCACATATTAGTGTGGCCATAAAGTGTACATATATGATTCTTTAAAACTAGAGTAAGGATGATTGGGCATGTAGCTCGGTGCTAGGGTGTTTTGCCATGTCCCCAGTACTGCAGAAACAAACCAACACCAAAAACTGGAATAAAAAGACAGTTTCTTTTGAAGGTGCAAACAGCACCTGGGAAGGGTAAACAGCAGTAATAGTGAGAAGAAAACAATAGTCTTGGATGGAGAACGCTCTTCTCTACCTACTTCCTACACCATCTACTGGATCTTTTATTTTAATGTTTTATTTTTGGTTGAATTTGGGGGATAAGGTCACTGTTCCTTTAACACAGGTTCTCTATCTTACACTCCAACTCAGGCCATCTTGAAGTAGGAAGCATAGTCATTTTTTGAGGTCAGCAATCACGTGATTTCTTGCTGGGTTGTGTCAATATGGCTTCTTTACCTGGAGTAAGAGAAGAGGTTACTAGCTGAATCAGTAGACATATTCTAAAAGAATTAAGGATTGCATACTATAGTGGTGCATGCACACCGTATTACTATTCAAAATAGCTAAGCTGTGGGAACAGACAGCCTAGATTCCCATCAACAGATGAGTGGATAAAGAAAATGTGGTATTTATACACAATGGAACATTACTTAGCCGCAAAGAAGCATGAAAGTATGTCATTTTGAAGGAAAATGGATGGCTGTTTTAATCATTATGTTAAGTGAAATTGGCCAGGCTCAGAAAGTTAAGTATCAAATGATTTCCATTATATTAGAGACTATATAAATGAATAAACAAGTAAATAGGAAAGAGGACAGGAAGCCAGAAAGTAGACTTCTGGAGATGGGGAAGGAAATAAGCAGAAGGTGAGAAGGAAGGGACAAAGGTCTAACAGGGCTGACCTTGATTAAGATATGTTAAACACATGCACTAACTGTTATGGCTTGTGCCTACATGTTCCCCCCGCCCCAAGCCTCCTGTGGTCATAAGGTGGGGAGTTTTGGAGGGGGCTGGGTCTGGGGTTTGTGCTGCTGGGATCAAGGACATGATGCTAGGATTGATTTATGGTGCAATGCAAAGATTAAAGGGGTGTATACTACCCACCCTAAAGGCAGGTAGTGTGGGTAAGCTATGATGGAAAGAAAAATCTGTGTTATGGCTCCTTGTTTCTCACGTATAGCTTGATGCTTTCTGTCTTCTGTCTTCTACCTGCCATGAACTGTTTCTCCTGTGCGATGTCCATCTGCCATCCACCCTGCCTTGGAGCCAACCAACTATGAACTGAAACCTTAATAAATGGTGAGGTAAATAGACCTTTTCTTTCTCCTTTCTCCTTTACCTTTGGGTGTCTAGTATTTTGTACCAGCACCTAGAAAAGTAACTACGACACTAACTTCCCACATAAACCCCATCATCATGCAATAGTAACATGTGCCAATAATTATTTCTTTAAAAAGTATAAACAAGTTTAAAACCACAGATCAAACAAAGCATTCTCAAGTTTTAACTTACTAATACCTGAACTGTTGCTAGGGGTAAGTTGGCCTAAATTGGGAACCATGTATAATTTGCAATGAAAATAAAAATATATTAATATGGCCTGGAGAGACAAAAGAGTTTTTAAGGCATTTCAAATCAGTTCTTCATATATATTTAGAATTTTTCTTTAATGTGTCAAAGTCATCCTTACATTTGAGATGATTCTTTGATGCAATTTCTTATGATATGTTGTATCTGGCAAGAAGTTTCAAATAAAGAGGTAAGAAAAAAACGGACTCCCTGTGTGACAGTGTGGTGATTAGGATGGATTGTCACCCTGATTGGCTTTGGGATGCACTTGGGTTGTTTGTGGAGCACATATCTCTCTGTGTCTGTGTGGGTCTTGGAGGCATGACTTTGGTATTATATGTAGTCCCTGGCCCATTTCCTGGCTGGCATTGTTTCCCCACCACCATGAACTGAGTGGCTTTTTATGCCATGCCTTTCAGCCATGATGTTTCTGCCTTGGATGAAGCCAACAATGGACTCAATTCCCTTAACACATGAGCAAAATTAAACCATTCTTAAAGTTTAGGTGTTGAGCATTGTGTCCCGGTGACAGGAAAACTAAGAGAAACAAGAACCAATGGGAAAACTCTTATGCAGAGTGATTATCAAGGATGATATGAGGAGAGGATTCTGATATAATGTAAAAAGAAGAGTATTTAAGTTTTGTAAAGAACTATCAGTTCTAGGGAAGAATGCATTTCTGAAATGCAAGTGGTATTGTCCTGACTATTCTCATGATTTCCCTTCCTTGGTTGCAGTGCCTAATTTCCCTTTCTCCAACTCTGCACAATAGTGATTCAGGTCCATGCACCAGTAGCAAGCAAAAGAGAGGAAGGAGGTAGAACCTTAGTGTCAATAAATGGGGTGCCCAGGGCCTGAATAATTAAGATGGTGCATGGAATAAAATCCTTGAGGTGTTTGGAAACATTGCTATAACACACATTGAAAGTGAGCTTTTTCAAAGAAAAAAAGAGAGAAAGGGAAGAACTCTATAATTTTATGAGAAATGTTTTGTTTTTTCTTTTCTACAGGTAAAGAAATGAAAATTTTGAGGGGCTAAGTAGCTTACTTAAGATTATAGAGCTACCAATGGTGGATCTGGGGTTCAGGAAGATGCTCCTGAAAGCTTACTCTTTTTATAGTCTCTTGTGTGTGTTGTAGGGCAGGGTGCAAGAGGAAGGAAGCAATTCTTAGTGCATACAGCATATACCAGGGAGGGAAGGGAGCTTCTGAGGGAAGCACAGGGATGAGGGCTTCTTGAGGGCAATGGCTTCAAGTCTCAGGACGCTTCCAAGTGCCTCTTTCTAATGTCCTGCAAATAAAGCAAGCTATATGAAGATGCAATGGAAATGATTCTTATAGGAAACAGTAAGAAGAAAATTAATTTCAAGAATATTTTTATAATTATAAAATTAGTAACATTTGCTTAATTTACGTAATTTGAAAAATGAACTCCCCCATTCTATTATTTTTTCAAGAGATTTGAAAAATATAAATAAACATACTACTTATCCATACTTTTCCTGCTGAAATACAGAACTTTTTCCCTCTCTGTATCCTGCATACTTCTCCATTTTTGTTTCATGTGATTACTCAGATGGAAGTAATTCATTGTATAAATATTTCATATTACCTTTCCTCTCCCTTCCCTTCCTTTATTTACTTAGTGTTGTCGTTTAGATACAGTTTGTGTTTGTTTCCAAAGTGCCCACATATTGAGAGTTTGGTCCTTAGTGCCAGATTTACTGTTGTTGTTTTTGGACAGACTGGGGATTGAACTCAGAGCCTTGCCTGTGCTAGGTGTGCATTTCATCACTGAGCTATGTCCCAGCCAAGAGCTTGGTCCTCCATGTAGTGATGTGAGGAGATGGGACCTCTGAGAGATAGGGCCTAGCAGGAGCTTCTGAGGTCAGCTGGGAACACGCACAGTGGACCTGAGATCCCAGTGTCTCTCTGGCTTTCTACTTTGAGATGTGATCCTTTTCTTACACACAGTTCCACTGTTGTGATGCCTTCCGTTTGACCCTCATTAGTTGCTGAACCAATAGGGCTGCTAAGCATTGGACTTTGAGTTTCAAGAACGAATACTTTCCTTACAAAGCTACCTTGTCTCAAGTATTTTGCTGAAATAGTGCAAAACTCACCAATATAGAAAATTGGCATCAAAGAATGGGTCATTTACAGTAGCAAACTTGGAAAAGCCTGGAATATTGTCCGTAGAGTGTAATGAGAATTCTGGTGAGACCAGGCCACTTTTACTCAGATTTACAGCAGCGAGACTCAGGACCAAAAAGAAGCAGAGCAGAAAGATTTGGAAGATTTGTAACCTGACCAACAAAAAAAGCAAAGAAAAAGCATATAAGGGTGTTGCTGACCAGGAAAATGCAGAGAAATCATGGTTTGCAAAAGAGATTAGCATGAATGCTAATTACAAGGGCAACTGCAAAAGACTTCCAGGGTATCTTAGAAATCTGCAAGGCTGCCTGTCCTGTTACCTGCCAAGAGGCTTTCCAGGGCAGAGTCTTTCAGAGACCTAACCAAGGCACTCTCTAAGAGCTGAGGATTTCTTTCAGCAGGAAAAGCACTCCATGGCTGCAGCTGGCTTCAAGAAGGCCCAGGTGCAGTCCTTGGCATCCACATGGCGCTGACTCCGCAAGCATGCAGAATGCAAGAGTTACGGTGTCACAGTGGTTTTCACTCAGATTTTACAGGAAGACCTCACAGGTCAGGCAGAGATTTTCCAGAGGGTGGGGGTCCCGTCAGAAAGTGCCTGCCAGGGCAGTGCCTCTTAGAGCTGTGAGAGTGGAGCTGCACTGGGACCCCAGAAAGGTTCAATTGTCAGTACAATGCCACATCTGCTGGACAAAACAGCAGACATCAGTGCACAGCCAGAGAGAAGTGACCATGAGCCCCTCAACTTGCAAACCCTGGGGATGGCGCTGCCCAGCGCCCTTGTGACAGTACACACAAGATACAGGAGATGCTGCACTTGGAGCTTTAGGATGTGATATCTGTCCTACTAGTTTTGGTCTTGCTTTGGGTTGATTACTCCTTTCTACTTGCCTATTTCTCCCTTGTGGAACAGAAATGTTTACCTGTCCTGCCTGTGTTTCCTGGACGGATGTGACTGGTTTGCTGATTTTATGACTTTCACAGCATTTACCAGTGTACCAACTATTGGGATTGATAAGCCAGAATGACTACTTTCAGGTGAAATAAGAAGTCATTTGTAAAGCAACTTACTGCACGGTACTCAGTGTTGGTCATTTGCCTTTTTTCTTAGTTTTCTGAAGCTTAATGTTAAATTCCACTGCCACAGAAATTTGAGTTCAAATGTTCACTTATCCCCTATGCTGTTGTGTTAGTTCTGCATATTTATTTCATAACAAAGATGGGGTCTGGGTTCTATAACCTCGTCACTGTCCCTCTAACATAGTCAATCTACCCCTGGTGGCCCTACCTTTGCCGGTTTCCTTTCCATGCTGTTTTCCATTAAAAAAAAAAATTTCCTTAAGCCCCTCTTAAATTTGGCTGGTTTTCCTCCCATTGCACCTGGCCCATTTCTGATCTTCTCTGTAAAGTTATTGGGAAAATTCTCACTTCTCTTTAACTTAGCAATGGAAAACATAACATCATTAGTTTTTTAAAGATATCCATTTTTCTTGGAAAGGCAAAAAGTGGTTGTAGTTTAATAATAAATGGACAGTGTAAAGAAAAATAATGGAGAGGTTGAAAACTTGTAGAAAACCACATTTGTCAAGAAATGATAACACATTATGGGCCCAGCAACGAAAAGAAAATTAAGGCCAAAGGGTACTTTCTCTTTTGTTCAACTATGTTAATGATGAGTAGTTAAGATAAGCTAATGTACCCCTAAGTGCTAACAGTTTGAAGCACTCTCTTCCTCCCCAAAAGACATCGATCTTGCCTCTAGGGCACTCATGCTGAATGGAAATTGTGCTGGATAATCTCATCAGTGTAACCCTCCTGGGAAAGCTGGTGCTAAATAAAATGTGAAGAAAAGCAACTCCACTATTCAAGAAAAGTCCAGAAGTGAAAGTGAGTCTAACATTGTTATCCATAAGACACAGAAGTTTTTTTCTTCCACAGATAGTGTAGTCATTGTAAAGTAATTTACAGTCACACGAATCCCAGCATTGTACATGCGGTTTTGAGGCTTCCTTTTTGATAGTAATCAATCTGTGATGAATGAAAAGGCTTTGAAGAGTTTCAGGCTGCACCAAAAAAACATAACATATCATGACTGGGATCCATTTGAGAAATTTGTGGCCCAAATGAGCGTGAAATGATCATTCCACACTGTGTAATCACGCTGAGTTTCTCAACCAGATTCACTCATTCCCCAGTTAGAGCAATTATTGAAACAGCCAAGAGTCAGACAAATCATTTGTTAGAGGATGCTAGTCAGAAACAGGCTGCAGAACTGTAGTGCTGTCACCAGTGGCTCCCAGCTAATTGAGAGCAGGGCAGGAGAAGGTAACACTCCTTGAACCGCTCCCTGCCACACCCAGGAGAAATGTTTGCAGAGCCAGTCAGTGTATCGCAGGAGGAAGCCAGAACACTTGATGGCAGTCAGTGGCCGGTCTCACCAGGCCAACTTCCAGGATTCTGGCTGCACAGCTGTCACCCTGGTATCTTGCCCTGCCCCAAGTGACAGGCACAAGCACGTTTGAACCCAGGCGCCAGAGAAGAGAACATGTCAGAGCAGAGTAGTGTTTTAGTGGACTGTATGTTTGTCTCATAAAGGAGTCAGGAGGGAAGCAGGTGTCCACTTTCTGGCTGGCTCTTTTGCTGCTATGAACCCGGGCCTCCCGTGGCCATGTGAGATCCGGGTTGTGCGCTCAAGGCTGCCCTTTCTTGATGCATTATGTGCATGGAGTTGTTTTCAACGTAAGCTGGCCTCAGAGTGAGGGTTTCATGAGCCTCTTCAAGATGGAGCAAGAGTCTATTAGGTCTATTAACACCTCGATAAATAGAATTTGTGCAACAGTATACGATTAACACAAAGCAAGGCAAAGTCAGTCAGAGGTCTACTCAGAAGGAAAAGATATGTCTTCTCCCCCCACTTTTTAGAGAGTAAAAACATGAATTTGTCAATAATAAATTAAAAACTCTCCTATAAGAGTTGTCAACATGAGAGACTGCATTTCCCATGTTCAGTAATAAAGCTATCTATTATTTTGGTAAGAAATACCTAAATTGAAATTCCAAAGGGTATTATAAACTGGAATAAAACAGATAATGGATTTTTTAATAAGTTCTAGGTCAAGATGTATTATCAAACTATTTTCCATAGGGCACAGAATATACCATCTACCCTTTAATAATACCAAGCCTAGTCTTACTTCCAGCAGCCAGCTGAGGCTGCTTGTCTGTTATAATCTCTCCCACTACCCCTAACAATGAGCAAATAACTAGCTGGCCTATACAACATTTTAAATAGAACCATTTCCTACAGAAACTGTTACTGGCAGAGATAGGTTCGATCCAGACCGAGAGAACTTTCTTTGGGAAAGTGCAGATCGATATTGTTTGGGAGTAAGTAGTAGTAAATATGATGATGAATTAAGTAAATCATAAAACAAGTGATCTATGTATTGCCACGCAGCTTTATTCTACCTGATTGCTCTGATTCAGGACTATGAAAGGATGATTCTGTGTGCTTTGAAATTCAAAGGGCTTTCAAAATACCATTTTAATTATACAAACCATATATTAGTCACAAAAGCACTGTGTCTGCAACCCCTAAAGGCTGGCAAAGAACTTGACCGTGCATTTGAAGAGTGGTCTGCATCATCTAAGCTGTGGGAGAGGAGTTTTCTTTTTTGATTCATGGCTTGGGTGCAAAGCCAAAGTTAGGTCTTTCCACCATCCTTTGGCTCATCCCTAACTGCCCGACTCTGCTGTATCCCCTCAGCCTGCTTCCGTTAGGTTATTTCCTTGCATGCAGCCCCCCTCCACACTTCTGCGGGTCACAGCGGACATGGACACCCCATATGTAGTCACGGAGGAGAGGAGGGTAGTTCTGTTGGCTAAAACGTAGCTGAGATCAACAGCAGGAAGTGGTTCTTACACTTTCCGTGATAAAGTAAATTTTAAAGAGTTATAAAAAGACAGAAAAAGCTGCTTCATTATATATTTAAATATCTTCTGGGCAGGGAGGAGTTGGTGGATGAGGTTGTCTAGCTATCTTCATAGTTGCATTCGTTTCAGATGGTTTCAGATGAACACATAAATTTATAATGTAACTTAATATTGGAAGCATTAAGCTAATTATTACAAATTGACTTCTGTTTTCCCTATCTTCTGTAAAAGAAAGTTCTTGGTAAGATAAAAGAATGCCTGCATTTTTCATCATGGACACATATTGAGAGAGCGTGGATCTGGAAAACAAATTTATACTTTTTCTGGAAATGGGAACCACTCATAAAACATTTAATGAGTTCAAGGTCCTCTTTCTGTCTTTCTGCCTCCTATTCATAAAGCCCACTGGCAACCCCAAGGTAGTCAGGGTAGTGACGCATTATTGGATGAATCTGCTTTGGCTTTGAAGATTTATGAACACTTTGAACGACAGACAAAAATATACATTTCCCTTTCAAAAAGGGGTGTGATTAATATTCAGTAGTCACAATATATAATTAAAGAGAAAAGTGTAATGGACTGTTTATGCAGGCACAAAGAGTTGCTTTCATATCACAATGGACCTGAAGTCTGTGGCAAAATTTTAAAGCGCAGCTCCAGAGTTGTTCTCTGAGGTGTTCTCAAAACTACAATCCCATCACCATTTTTATGCAAGTCGTGGAATTGTTTACCAGCTGCGGTGGTGTAAGACGCTCTGAAGTCTCCTGGTGCTGCTGATCTCCCTCCGTGCATCTTTATGTTCCATATGCCCTCATTAATTTGGGAGAGAATTTTAAAGAGGGCTCCGATAACATTTCCAATTAGTAGCTGATTTTTTTTTTTGTAGGTGTTGAACAGTGGATCTCATTGAAATACCCCTAGATGGTTGAATTTTATTCTGACAACAGTCCCAGATAAGAAAAAGACCCACTGATGCTTAGAGGCTCTCACAAAACCTTCCGATGTAGTTAAAATTCTGTTCCTGATCCCTCTGTATTAGCTCCAGGTCCCAGTTTTATGTCCTTTTCTTTGTCTCTAAATTGTAGACCTTGGGCAAAACACTGCTTTCATTTTCTCTGAAACTTCATCCATTTCTGTTTTATCGTCAGGGAGCCTGGCTACACTGGCATCAACAGTGGTGGTTTTGTTCAGGCAGCAGCGCTGGGAACGGGGCTTGTGAGCCTGTACTCCGTCTGCGGGGAGCTGCTGAGCAAGGGGGGCGAAGGGGCGTGGAGGGTTCAAAGGGACAGCGATCAACTGCTTTGACATTTTGGGGAGGACTCCTGGAATCTCGTAGTTGAGTGCAACAGCTGGGTTTTCTTGGTGTATGCTCTGGAGTGAGGGTTGACGCGCGGCGGGTGGGTATGGAGAGTCTGGGCTGAGTTCTGACATCAACAATTGAGACTATGGGAGGGAACAGAAGTTGAGTGGTGCTGCTGTTCTGCCGTCTTCCTCCTGAAGATGGGTGTTGTTTTATTTTCAACTCTTCACTGACCTCTAGGTGTCTGCCTTGGGATTGCCATTCTCGGATGGCCTACCATCCTTCCACTGCCGGGTGGCTCAGCGAACCAATCCCTCCACAACCCAGGGCCAGGTCCTTTCTCCCGGTTTGGCTCTGTTGCTGATGACCTCTTCCACCTGTGGTTGTCCATTAATTTGCTCCCTGTCCTTACCAACCGCAGCCACAGCTTCCCTTCTACGTTTATGTGGCCAGCACCTTTGCTTCCTGTCAAAACAGATCATTTGCCACAGGAAAGAATAATTTAAGTCATGAGGAAAATTTGAGGAACCACAAAGGAATTCTCTATTTCAGGCAAAGAATATTTTAGCAGAAGCCTGTATACAATATTTACCCATTTTCATGTTTCTTAGGTTTTTGTCATCCTTATTACTATCTTCAGTTTTTTTCTCTCATCCTTGCTTACTTAATATTGTTTTAAATAATTTTTAAAGTTTACCTTAATTTTAGCAAAATAGAAAACTTTGTGTTACTATTGTCTTAGTGCGTCTTCTGTTGCTACAACGGAAGACCTGAGGCAGGGTAATGTATTACAAAAGGAGACTCATTTTGGTTAGATGCGCAGGTTGGAAAGTCCAAGAGTACGGCGTGGGCGGGGCTTCAGGTAATGGGCGAAAGCAGAAGAGCGAACGAGGGTGTGAGGAGAGAGACGTGGAACGAGATGCAGTCTTGCGTTATGAGAACAGACACCTGTGGTCATTAATCCAGTCCTGAGAGAACAAGAGCTCATTCACGTGGCCAAGGCATCCCTCTCCTCAAGAGGCCTCTGCCTTGTGACCCAAATCTTTCCCACTCACTGGACCCCCCCACCCCAGTGCAGCCACATTGGGGAACATTTCATAGCGTGAGTTCTGGGGACCGTAGCCAAGCCATATATGTGGGAAATCAGTATCATTTTTCTTAAGTAGAAGACAATATTACCAGCCAGTAAACAAAACCATGTCCCTGAATTCTAACTAATTAGCTGTGAACTGCTAAATGCTGTGAGTGTAAGGTTCTACTCTTTTTATTTAAAAAGGATATTAGTAAGAGTTAGAAACAATTCAAGTCACACTAGCACCAAACTGGAAGTTGCCCCTCTTGGTACAAATGTCTGTTGTGTTTAATTTTGTGCCTATCTTTGGTACTACTGATCCCACCCCGATCCAGCCCCAAAACAAGACTCTAATGATAGGAATTCCCAGTAAGAAATGAAAGGAGAAATATCTCTAGTGTCCTGGTGAAGAAGGACCTTACTTGCTTATGATATGGCTAATCCCAGTTGGAAAGCAGATCTACAGAAGAGTGGATTTTTCCCTTCTATTCCTTCTTCTCTTCCTGAAGTAGTTGGAGGTTCTGTAGAAAAGGGCTGGTGAGGAAAGAGTGTAATGAGTGATTAAATTCCTTTCACGGAATACTACGAATGCAGCTCTATGAGACCTTGGTGTTGATTTGTGAGTTATTAAGGTAAAACCATTTTCCTTCCTGAAATTCCACAAAAACCAGCTGGTTAATAGACACATCATGTTCTAGAAGGAAGTTTATAGGGATGTAAAATGCTGGAATAACCAGAGTCCTCACATTTGAGATGCCAGGACATTTGATGCATTCTTGTTAAACACTGAGTATCAGTAAATAAGATCTTGACTCACTGAAAGTGTAACCTTATGGATTTAAGGACTTTTTACTCTGAAGATCTTTCTAAAAAATCTTTTCCAGGAATGGGGATTTAGCTCAGTGGTTCCGCTGCCTGCCTCGCAAGTGCAAAGGTTCTGAGTTCGATCCCTCGTACAAAGAAGAAAGAAAGAAAGAAAGAAAGAAAGAAAGAAAGAAAGAAAGAAAGAAAAAAATATTTTCCAGAAACTTGAGAATCCCTTTAGTTTCTTGACTTTAGATATAGTCCATGGGAACAATCCAGGTTCTAGTTTTCACTCCATAAATGTTAAATTTAGAACAACTTTATGTACTGGATGAGTCTTTGAAGAATACAATCTTGGGACTCTGAATTTATGAATGAACAGGCAGCTTTGATTCCTTATGGGAACAGGCACCATATGCCATTCAAAGGTAATTTCCCTTAGATTTACATTTCATTTATTCATCTTGTGCCTCCAATGCGAAGTGTTGTGTCAGGCTTGAAAAGGAAATGGAGCAGCAGATAGCAGTCCTGAGAAAGAATGATAAAGCTGAGAAATGGCAGCGTTTCCAGTAAATCACAGATCTCACACACAGAAGTTGACTATTGAGATTGCACATTAGAAAAAGAAATGTAGGACCTGGGATTTAGCTCAGTGGAGCCACCGCCTGCCTTGCAAGCACAAGGTCCCAAGTTCAATCCCTGGTATTAAAAACAAAACAAAATGTAGAAAGATAAAAAGAAAACAACCGAACTTCAGGGAATCTGAAACACGAATTACAGTAAAATCTGGCAGAATATAAGAAAGATCCCATTTTGTGAAACAGAAATATGTTTGCTAAACAACACTGGAAAAAAAATGACAAGATTGCTGTGTGTAACGATAAGAAGAGATGCAACCAATCTAAGCTGAAAAAACGTTTTAAGGTCAAACTTTTTCCAAACTGTTGAATTGAAGAAATATGATCAACACTTTGATGCCCAAAGGGGTCAGACCAGAAAGAAGGAAGTGCACGGCGCCCATACATGGCTTCCCTGTTTATATTAGGAGAATTCCCACTTGGTCAACCTTTCACAGGATTTTCAGGTTAAAAGATTTGGTGCAGATTTCTTTAAAAAATAGCAAAGAATTAGGAATGGGCAATTAGGCATGGGACTTTGGAAAGTATCTGTAAAATTGAAAAAAATCCACCTCTGGTCCCTGTTGCAGACCCAGGCCCCGTGTGACAAAGTGAGCTTTAGACAGCTGCAGGCAGTTGGTGGCCTCTGCTTCATTTTCTTGCATGGATTGGCTTGGTTCACTGTGTCCTGGTCTTTAGAATGGTAACTTATGGGTGCACCACATAAAGGAGTTATTTCTGGCTAAAGAAGTGATGACTGAATTGTTTCCGTGTTTCAGAAGTATAAATGAAGCAGCAAAACCACTCCTTTTGACTCTTTTTGAATAGCCAGATACACGAGGAGCTGTGCTGGGCACTCGGGACACAAAGATGAAAATGAGCAATGAAAGAGACTCAGAAGGCTCATAATTAGGTGTGATGGGCTGAGAGGCAGAAGGAAATGAGTCTCTCATCTGGTGGTATTGCGTGTGTGTGTGTGTGCGTGTGTGTGTGTGTGTGTGTGTAGTAGGGAATATTTTATATTAAGTCAAGAAGAACTCCATGGTATGAGTCCAAAGAGGCCCAAAAGAAGTAAGGACAGGAACACCTTGGAAGGCGCTCTCCAGGCAGTTAGCAAGCTCACCTGTCTGGAACAGAAGTGTGGTTGGGTGTCTGTGGAACAACAAGGGAGAGCGGATGAAGGGAAGAGGGTTGCAATGCCAGAGCCAATCCAGGGCTGCAGGGAGCCAATCCAGGGCCTCTTCTAGGACTGGTAAGAGCTCCAGGCTTTACTCTAGGTGACGTGGAAGGCATGGGAAGGAACCCTGTATGGACAATCAAGAGGAAAAGCATGGAGACAGCCAGTTGAGCTGGGAAATTACTGTAAGTCTCTGCATGGGAAATGCTAGTTGCTTAGACAAGGCTGGTAGTAGCGGAAGTAAGAAGCGGTTTCTGATTATTCTTTCAGGAAGGATCCCGCGAGATAGCCTGACATTGCAGATCATGGGATGAGAGGCAGTGTTTCATCCCAAACAACTAGAAGATTGGAGTTGTAACTGAATGAGGTGAGGAGAACTGTGGGAGGAGCAGTGTGGGAGCAGCGGTGGGATTTCAGGCATGTTTGAGTCTCCGCTAGACATTTACCTGGGAGAAGTTGGATGTGAGGTTGGAGTGCAGAGGAGAGGGTGAGGTTGGAGATAAATGTGTGAGAATCAAGACCATACCCGTAGTTTCAAAGCATGACATGAGACAAGATCACCTGGGGAACAAATAAACAGAAAAACCAAATAGAGAGTGTTTCTCAAACTTTTGGATACAACTATTGTTAAGGCTCTAGAGATGGAATTGGACATTTAGGTGCCTAAATGTTTGCTAATTTCTTCTCCATATATGAAAATCCACAATGTGACTTATGTACTTCAACGTTTCATATAAGACTTTCCATCATTTGACATATACAGCTACTCTCTCCCCAGTTTCATTTCCTCTAAACAGCAAAAGCATGTTTTTCAATATCTCTTTGTGCATTTGGGACATCTCTGCAGCAATCTCAATCACACACGCATGTGGACACATACCTGCACACATATTCCTTCTGGGTCATTCCTACTAATTTTTATAACTCGATGAAATGTGGTGCTCTCCAGAAATCCTTCCCAGCATCTTGCCCTCTGCTGGGTTAAGGCCATCTTCGATCTTCTGTTGTCCTTGGTGTGGGAATAATTCTGTATTCCACTGATGTGTACTTACTGTCTTTTGCTATCTGCCCAATCCTTGGTATGGCGAATACCCAACTTATTTACGAAAGTGAGCCAAAATATTGAAGGAAAAGTGGAGAGTGAAATGAGTCCTCAATTCCACAGCAGGACATTCGCAAAACAAATGCCACTTTAACCAGAAGCGATGGGGCTGAACTCCTAAGTGTCCTCTGAGGTGGGCACTGCCCCTGATCTCGTTGCCATAGAGTGAAATCACAGACCCTAAATGATTGATCCTGGGCAACAGAGGAGACAAATTGGAAGAGAAATCTTTGGAAGAAGGAGGAGAAAAATAAAACAAAAAGAAAAGAAAAAGGAATGAGAGCTTCAGACCAAGGAAAAATCAGAATATTCCTTAGTGAAATCTCTTATTTAACTGATGAAAGTCAATCTCCTGCTAATAAAAGTGACAGACTTGGGGCTGGGGATTTAATTCACTGGTTCTGCTGCCTGCCTTGCAAGCACAAGAACCTGAGTTCAATCCCCAGTACCAAAACAACAACAACAACAACAACAAAAGTGACAGACTCAACTGGAGGCTTAGAAATAACTTAAGCATATAAAACTCCATAAGTTAAAGAGACAATTAGTTGTACCTAAAGAAATATGATGAGATCTTTAAAATTCACTATTCAATAAAAAATTAATTTCATGACTTGAAATTCTTTTAAAGGAGTTATTTTTTAATTGAAAATTGTATTAGTATTTTCCCTATGTTACAAAAATCATCATCCACGAGCTGCTGATAGAACAGATTTCAGTTGGAAAATGCCATGTATACTAGTTGCTTTCCTAATATAAATTGGTTTCGACATATTTTATACATTACATTAATCAATCATAAATTCCTTAAAAGCAGGAACTACATGATGTAGATCCTCAACTAATGTGGGTTACATTTAAATTTGAGAACGTGATTGCATGACTTCAGCACATTCTTGGCTCTTGTATAGAACGTATGTAACAGTCCAGAGTAATACACTCTAATAATAGCATGGCCATGATTTATTAGCACTTATATGCTTATCTCATTTTGTCCACATTATATCCCTATGGGAAAAATTTGTTTTCTATTAAAACAAAACAAAACAAAACACAACACAACAAGTTACTAGAGTTTAAGCAGTTTGCCCAAGTCCAGAAATCATTTTTGTCTTATTAAAAAAAAAAAACTAAACTTTTTTTTTACTAAGCCTGACACATTTAAGCAAACTCTAAAAAAACAAAAACAATCAAACAACTTGTATGTTGGTCTTATACATTTTTTAAAGAAAGCCATTAATTAGGAAAACCTAAGTATGTAAGTGGATTTGAAAAATCTTCCTTAAAATATTTTTCGGTTGTTTCATTATTAATCAGAAATGACATGTTGGAGTTATCTCAAATACATATTCATTTTACATTTATCACAAAGAAGCTGTTCTGAGTAAAGAGAATATTCAGGTAGCTCACTGAGCAGTAGAATGTCCTATTTAAGCTAACAACTAGGAGTGTTAAAATATGTACACATGTAATAAATATGTAAACATGTAAGTTTAGTGACAGGTTTCATCTTTGACAGCTACAAATTAATGAAAAATACTATCTCAGCATACTGTTCTTTTCTACCCAACCAGATTTCTAATGCTTTATAACTTTCCTCTCTTCACCTAGGAGATATATCTAATGCCTCTATCGTGACGAGCTCTCAAATGAGTCGAGAAGGGCGTGTTTTCCTCACACATCAGTGCCTGTGGCCTGGACCCTCTTTCATCCTGCTTCACCTAGAAAATGGCATCTGTAGTAATCAGCAGATGACTCACCACAGCTCGCGGCCACAGCTCTTTCCTCAACCCTTGTACCTGGAGTTCCACTGCTCACTAACCATCTCTACTCAAGGGGCGTCTGGATTGTCCACAAGATCTTTCCATAGCCCTTTGTGCCAGTTAAGCTCGGTTGCTACGTTGCCTGGGTTGAGAAAAGCCTGCAGAAGCGATCAGATAACCGTGGGGTCTCCACTCATCAGAGGACCAATGTGCTGCTCGCTCCTAGGTGACTGTGTTGTTCGGAGGGGAGGCTCCGCTGAAGGAGGTGGGTCGGGATGCGCCTTTGAGGATGAGTCTGGGGATGGTGCTCTGCTCCTGTGCTCTGTTTCCGGGCCACATGAAGTCGGCAGCTTGGCCCCTGCATGGCTAAGATAAAGCTCTTCTCTTCTAAATTGTGTTTTAAGAGTAAGTGGTGGGTGTTTCAAGGTTGAGTTGTGGGTGTATCAAGTGGTGGGCGTTTTAAATTTTGTCCCAGCTATAAGAAAGCTGACCCATGCAGTCCCCCTCCCCCAAAGGAGAAAGGATGACTGTAGCTGGTGCCTCCTTTGTACCAACTTCTACAACACTATCTCCGATCCTGTATTTGAGCACCAAAGCCACTTTCTTCACTTATCAGAACTTAATAATAACAGCGAATGTTAATAGTATTCCTTGCTACACTCAGATAATTATGGTAGGTGTCTAGACTGACATACTAGAAGGTGTTCACCAGATAAAACCTATCTGCTGTTTCTGCAAATATTCATTTTTATATTCACTTTTATAAACATGTCAGTTTCTTGTGGATACATTTCTGAATACTGTATGTGTTAGAAACAAAGCACATAACTTTATCTCTTTTTTGTGGTAAAAAGAGTCACTCATCTTTTCAGTGTCTATGTACAAAAGTTCCTATTTAGTGACAGCTGGTCTAACAGTCAAGCCCGTATTGTTAATCAGTGAATCAAATGAACCCACCAAAGTTTAATGCCAAAAAGTTCCTCTCCTTGTGAGTCCAGGGAAAAGATGTACAATAACTATCTGTGACAAGCATGCAATATTAATTACATAGTTAATTAAATTTTAATATTATGCTTGTTTAATTAGTGACCAAAGAGTGGTGGCTGCCTCAAAAACTAGAGCTTGTATGTTATATAGGTGTGAAAGCTTAGAGTGCAATAGGCTTTATAACTTCTCATGCAGTTGAGATTTATGAGCCCTGCAAGATACCTAAAAGTTCTTCTCAAACTAAATTAGGATTGTTAAGTAGTTAGAATTTTAATTATGTGATATATTTCCTCTTTATCAGGGGAGACATTATCTAAGAGAATTTTGACTGCTGGAGACTGATAGGATTGGGACCTTTGTGGAATTTTGTTTTTCCATGCACTACAAACATTTTTAAAATTATGCCTTACAAGAGGAAAATAAGCATTAATCAGCAAATTGCTTTGGTCTTCATATCCAGAGAACAATCTTGGTTCTGTCCTGGCAAGTTCCGAGTTCATTTTATTTATTTGTCTAAACGTTTCGAGATGATAGAGTCGGTAACTCCTCTGTCTCTATTATTTCCTGTTTCCTATGCTATGGAATCTCTATATCATCCTGTAAAGTCAGGTGGAAGGGGAAAAGGAAGCACTGTTAAATTGATGGTAAAAGTAATAGAAAAGAACTGTTTTACTTTATATCTTTTAAAATCAGTTAACAGACTTCAAAGTTATATCTTTTTGCAGCATTTGTGTAATTATGCTCTTAGAATATATGATGTGTTTTCATTTTCATAATTAACAGGAAGTACATGTTATACATTAAATGTGACACAGGAGATATGAATTATGCAGCCTATTCAGTGTGTGCTGATGAGCGCAAAAGCCCAGGGCACGTTCAGTCGAGTTTCTATGAAGATCTATAATGAGTTTCAAGTACATCATTTCCTCATGGAGGAGAAGAAAACATCCATCAATGCAAATTTTTGCACATTTTTTTCAACCTTTGTGAATACTTTACAACTTCTAAGAAGGATGAATTTTTGAAGTGCAACTTGAGGAAAGTTTATTACTCATTTTGTATTAGGCGGATTAGGTTCAGAGAGACTTCAGAGATATGTCCGTATATACACACGCACATATATTTAAACTTTCGATAAGTGCAATATAATTTGATATTTTATAATTTAATAAATATCACAGTTAATATATACACCTATAGTATTCAGGTTTTTTTTTTTTTTTTTGCAAAATGCACACGTGGTACCGTGGAACAGGAAGCCAGCAAATATTTGCACATCTTTTACATTCCAAATTAAGATTAGATATAGACAAGATGAACTTGCACATTTAAAAAAATTATTCCTTTAGAAGAGTTGAAATTAGCATTAGACTGAATTTTAATTTTCTTTTAGGTTACCATTTAAACATATACAGGGTGATTGGAAATTATGGTGACTGTTTAAATTTTTAAAAAATTATTGCAATAAAAGACACATTGCCAAGGATGATGGGATAAGTATACCTAAACTGAAGTGACTATTTTGAGGGGGTTTGATGGCAATGTGTCTTTTATGTAACATCTTTCTGTATTTCAACATTCCCTGTATTTTTTTTTTTAATCACACTGTATATACTAGTGAGGGGTGAAGGAAAATGGTTAGGGAGTAAGATTGTGTTGAATGTTGCATAAATATTCTAGCATTGTGAGGCCCTTCGAGATACTTTATAGAATAACATACAGTTTTTGTACAAAAATGTTCAATAAGGCAATCGCTTCCTAATTGGTTCTCCCAACACATCTCTCCCTTACAGTCCATTTTCCACGATAAAGCATTGTCATCCTGAAACGCTCATCTGATCACATGGCTTTCCTGCTTGGAGCCCTCTGCAGGGTCCCTGGTGCAGGAGAAAGAGGAGGAGGAGGAGGAGGAG